CATGTGAACAGAGAATTATTCCTGATGCCCTCATATCATTTCTCTGCTCAGTTTCCCCACCTTTGGCCTCTCATTATTATTTTGTCTTTCCTTCTTCCCCAGTCTCATCCTTTTTGTATCCTTTCCTCACCATACTCCTTTCCCCATTTACCATAGTTTCTTGTTGCTGTTTTTCAGTCATTTCAGTCATGTCCGACTCTCCGTGATCCCATGGTGGGGTTTTCTTGGCAAAGATATTGGAGTGGTTTGCCATTCCCTTCTCCAGCTCCAGGGTGAAGTGACTTGCCCAGGGTCACACAGCTTACAAGTGTCTAAGGCCAGATTTGAACTCACAAAGATGAGTCTTCCTGATGCCCATCCCAAGCTCCATCCACTGTGCCACCTAGTTGCCATTGAGCACAGCTACATAAATCTAAAGAAGTCATGGTCCACCTCCTAAGTTCCCCTCACTCTAACTGAATTCCACTACCATTCCCAAATGCTACGATATGAGTTTCCCCGTGAGAGCTCTTGGTGGGGATAATGCAGTGGTGGGCCAAAACAAGTGTTCCAGGTCTCTCTCTGATCAGGCTTATTCCTGAGAGTCATAACTCAGGCATCTGTGTTCTGCACAAGAGTTGTACAGCTTACTCAACCAGAATTAACAGGGGACAACCACTATATGAAGGTGGTGTCTAAAACACCCAAAAGGCATCACGTGCTATAACCTATAGGCTCTCAGGGGAGTTATCTGGATAGGGGAATAAAGTGGGCCCAGAACCTAGGCCTTCATGACTGCCCTATCTTGTATGATCAGTGATTGGTTATTCAGGGAGCCATTCAGCAAATACATATAAACAGATGGTCCGTTCAAACAAATATGATGTAGAAAGATTGGCTTTACCTTCCTAGGTCAACTCACTGTTCCAGTAAGCCTGATGGTTTATAGATTGTGTCTATTCATTTAGATGAAACCCTTGTTACTGGTAACAGGATTTTTACTGAGCCAATCTCTAACCTGAGAATGTTCCCAGCCACACAAAGTAGGCCTAGAGGTGGAAGCCACAGTAATCAAGTAGTTTAATTAATCAGCTTCGGAGTGAAGAATGTTCTCCTAGCTGATTACAATCAACTAATGGTTTCCCCCGAGAAACCCATAAGTCCCACAATACAGCAATTCTGGAGTCAAATCTTTGGGGGCTGTGACCATCTCCCCTAAAGTACAGAACCATAGTTCTGTGACAGGAACAGGATCTACAATCTTTGATTTGTTTCACTTAAGGTCTAGTGATTGTGAGCATTGTCAGAGTTTTGATTAATCAGTTCAAGCTGCATTGTGAGCTCTGACCCCCGAGGCAGAGAGGCAGTTCTTGAGAAAACTAAATTATTGGTATATTCATTACACATATCATATCGATTAATATGAAAATTATAAATTTCTTACTAGACATAAATTTCTTACTAGAAATTTCTTACTGGAGTGTTTGTGTTAGAATATATCAACAAATGATCACAGAATCACAGTGTTGAAAGGGACCTCAGTGTCCATCAAGTTCAATTCACTCCTGAACAATCCCCTCTATCAGGAAGCTGACAAAGTGACATCCAACCTTTGCCGAAGAGGCCCCAGCAAGGGAGAGTCAATCACTGCCTGAGGCCCTTCATTCCACTTTTCAATTGCTCTAGCTGATGGGAAGTTCTTCCTTCTATTTAGTTTTAACTTGCCTTGTTACATCTTCCACCCCCTTCTCATAGTTCTGCCCTGGAAGATCAGCAGAGAAAATCTCATCTGCTCTTGTAGGTAGTAGCCTTCCAAATGATACCCTGTTTCCCTTCTCTTTTTTGGCCTAGCTGATTCTCTATGTTGTGAACTTGATACCCTTCCCCATCCTGGCTGCCCTCTTCTGGATGGTCTCTTGCTTATCAATATCCTTCTTAAAATGGGGTGCCCACAATATTCCAGATGGGGTCTGATCAGGGCAGAGAAAGGTTACAATCACCTCTAGAGTTCTCTCCTTCTATAGGTCTGCTCTTTTAATGTGGCCCAGATTTGGAATTAGATTTTTTTGTATTGCCGTATCACATAACTCTACAAGCCTGGATAAAAGAGAAAGAAAAGAATTGACCAAGCTCACCTATGTGGTCTTCAGCTAATAAATAGAAAGGGGGATGGGGCAGGGGATAAGCGTGTATATGACGTTTACATATTTTATATATTTATTGTGTTTATATATTTTATGCATTTATATAACACCAGGCTATATCTATATACACATACATACATGTATACACACATATATGTATACATACATATATGTATATATAAACATATACATATATAATATAATTTATATGATACATACATACATGCGCATGCCAGGAACTGTACTAAGCAATTTTCTACAAATATTGTCTCATACGATCCTCACATATGTGAGGTAGGTGCCATTATTATTCTCATTTCACAGTTGAGGCACCTTAAGCAAACAAAAGTTAAGTGACTTTCCCACAGTCGCACAGCTACTAAGTGTCTGAAGTTGGATTTGAACTCAGGTCTTCCTGACACAAGGTCCAGTGCTACAGCTACTGCTACCAGCTGCTTCTATAGGTATTGAAAGTGAAACCAAAGGTTTCTGCCCCCTCTAACATTCTCTATGATCTAATGAACCTTTCTCTGACTTCTATAATTATTATAATCAATTTGTTGTTGTTCAAGTGTTTCAATGATGTTCCCATTTGTGACCTCATTTGGGGTTTTCTTGGCAAAGACACTGGAGTGGTTTGCCATTTCCTTCTCTAACTCATTTTACAGATAAGTAAACTGAGGCAGACAGGGTTAAGTGGCTTGCTCAGGGTCAAACAGCTAGTAAGTGTCTGAGGTCAGATTTGAACTCAGGAAAATGAGTCTTCCTGCCTCCAGGCCAGGTACTCTATCCACTTTGCCACCTAGCTGCCCATTATAATAAATAATAATATTCAAATAGAGAGCCTACTTAAAGAAATTGGTGCACCCATGTTCCATACTAGTGAATACTAAGGCTGGTAAAGCCCCCACTGTCTACCCATGGAACTATTTATAATTATTTACAAATTTGTTTACTATTTTTTTTACCTTTTACCTCCTATGGTGGTTAAAACAAAAACAAAAACAATAAAGGGCAGCTAGATGGTACAGTAGATAAAGCACTGGCCCTCCTTCAGGAAGACCTGAGTTCAAATCCAGCTTCAGACACTTGATACTAAGCTGTGTGACCCTGGGCAAGTCACTTTACCCCATTGCCTTGCCAAAAAAAAATAAAATAAAAAAAGCAATAAATAAGTACATTAATGAAAAAACATACTTTTAAAAAAAATTTAAATCCATTTCAAATTCCATCCTCAAAGAAGATAAACATTTTCTGAGGATTAAGGATTTTTTTGGTTTCAAACTTTACAAATCTCTATTCTACCTAGTTCTGCCTGAGGCTCGAGTATAGGCAAAGTTGTATGTACAGGCCTAAGTCCACTTTTTTAATTTGTAAAATTTATGACTTCCGGTTTCCACTTGAGAAGGCACTTATTTTTATATTAATCAATATGATATGTGTAATGAATATACTAATAAGTTTTCTCAAGAGCTGCCTCCCTGGCTTGGGAGTCAGAGCTCACAACTGCAGCTTAAACTGATTAATCAAAACTCTGACAATCTGACAAAACTCAGAATCACTAGACCTTAAGTGAATCGAATCAAAGAATGTAGAACCTGTTGCTGTCACAGAATGGTGCCGTACATTAGGGGAGGTCACAACCCCCAGACTTGACTCCAGAATTGTTGTATTGTAGTTTTCTTGTGGGAAACTGATTTTTTGTAATGCACCTTCTCCTTCCCCAGTTGTGATTTAAGTATATAACCCGTGCTTTTACTTCAGCTAGGAGAACATTCCTCACTCTGAAACTGATTAATTAAATTGATTACTGTCACTGGGTCTCAAAGGCCTGATTTTGTGTGGCTGGGAGCATTCTCAGATTAGAGGACGGCTCAGTAAAAATCCTGACACACCCACTCCCACCCCTGCTCATGTGTCCGTTCTCCATGTGTGCATCCTTTTGATAATAATTTCAATCCACATCTTGAACCTATTCTATTTTTTAATGTATTTTTATTAGATTGCAAACTTGTGCTTTGGCTTTATGACAAGAATTTCTTTTTTGCCTGCCCATAAAGTATTCTGATGCATATGGCAAGTCAAATATGTGCGGTCTGTTGAAGACAGATCCCATTTGAAGGTTCAGTGCATTTAATAGCATACCCTACATAACACTTCCCTAAAGAGAAGCAATGCAATGCTTCCCCTTTCTCCCTACTGTAGCCAGTTACAGTCTTCTCACTGTCTAGTGAACCGATCACGGTCATTCCTTCTTTCATGTTGTTCTTTTTTTTTTCTGGACTTCCCTCTCAATCTACCACCATCAATAAAAAATCTAATAATAATTCATGTTAGGCCTTTTCAAGTTAGAAATCTCTTTCTTCATAACAACCCTGGGGCAGAAGCATCATGTTCCTATTTTACAGACGAAGAAACTGAGGTTTAGGGTCAGAACCCAGAACTCCTTTGCTTGTTCTGTTATTATGTTTATGTTCCACCTAATTGAATCACAGAATCTTAGAATGTAAGCTTCTTGAGGGCAGGGGCCATCTAGTTCTCTTTTGTTTATATCCTCCAAGCCTAGAAGCTTTACGTGGGCGTGGTAGAGGAATTCCCAAAGGCAAGCAGGAAAGGGGGCGGGGCGCAGGGCGCCGGAAGAGGGTGAACAGGAAAAGGAAAATGACGCGCCTTTTATTCTATGCATTTTACATCTCCAGGCAACACTGCTAGAAGGTCTCAGCGGAACAAAGTCATCCGACAGTAGAGGGCAGCAAAGACTACGACTCTTTCGCTACAGCGGGGCAAGAGATACTAAGGCAGCGCTTCCGGCCGGCGCGCCCTGTGATTGGTCCCAGCGGGAGAAGCTTCCGGTATTCCCCGGAAGTCCGCTGCCAACCGCTGCAGAGTCGCCTCAGTGAGCGCCAGATCGCGCCGCTCGTCGTGCTGGTGTTCTGCGGTGCCAGTTCTCTTAGTCGGACCACCTCGCTCCACCACCGCCGCCGCCGTTCGCTGCCCGTCGCCCTGTACCACCGCCGCCATCATGTCGGGGGGACTCCTGAGCGCGCTGCAGAGCGACTCCTACGTGGAGCTCGGCTGGTACCGCGACCAGCACTTCCGAGGTAAAATGGACGACCAGGAAAAGTTACTAAAGAAAAGCTGCACGCTGTACGTCGGCAACCTGTCCTTTTATACCACGGAGGAACAGATCTACGAACTCTTCAGCAAAAGCGGGGACATCAAGAAGATCATCATGGGCCTGGATAAGGTGAAGAAGACGGCCTGCGGCTTCTGCTTCGTGGAGTACTACTGCCGCGCCGACGCCGAAAACGCCATGCGCTACATTAACGGGACTCGTCTGGACGACCGCATCATCCGCACGGACTGGGACGCGGGCTTCCGGGAGGGCCGCCAGTACGGCCGCGGCCGGTCCGGGGGCCAGGTGCGAGACGAGTACAGACAGGACTACGACGCCGGGAGAGGAGGCTACGGGAAGATAGTGCAGAACCAGTGAAGGACCAAAGCCCGGCGTTACGAACGATCAGACAAAAAAAAGACGGCTCGGGCTTGCAGACAGATCCCGGTGCTTCTGAAAACAGCCGACTGGCCACAAAGCTGACTCATCTCCCTGCCTCTGCGCAAGAATTAAGCAGGAAACCGCCTGAAAAATTATCAGGTGACAGAAACTGAGAAAAGTGGCTTTGGTTCCGGCGTTGGGGCCTTGAGGTCTTGCAAGTTTGAGCACCCGAGGAACAGTAACTGAGCAGATCTGTATTATTTATTAACCTAGTCTAGCAATACTTTCTTTAAGCAGAATTAGAAAATGACCGTGTTACTGTTCGTGGGAGTGATCATTTATAATAGCATTTTTCTAATGCTGCTGCGTAGTAGGACGGTTTTTATTTCTAAGCTTTTTGAAGATGTTTCTTGTTTTCCAAGGTGATTTCTAACCCAGAAGATATTGAGTAAATCGTTGAACAGTTATGCTTCATTTTTAGTGACTTGATAAAAAGCACCTGGGAGAGCGCTCTAGCTCTGGTGTTTTAATTGGATGATCTATAAAGAAATTTGTAATGAGGATGTTAATGGTACTCATTAAGCACGTCCTTTAATCTTTTACTGGGAAGCCAGTGCAAAAACTTTAGTTATCCTAAAAGTATCTTCCTAAGAGATGAAGAAAAAAGGATTTATAATGGGAAATTCCTAACTAAGACATTGTTGGGGTGGAATATTAGGTAAGTTAGGAGGTGTTTATTTTAACTTTGAAATTTTTGAAAGTTGATATTGCAGTTGTTACGTTTATTTTTTTTTTACCAGAATCATAAGGGAATGGGCAGGTTTAGAATAAAACCTGAAAATCAAGGAAAATAAAACATTTCTTATATGAAATATCAAATAAACTTTGTCAGTTTCCTGGCCAAGTAGGACACATCCAAATGATACAATTTTTGTGTATCACTATTGGATTGGGCTTAAGTAACTGAGGTTGAGTTGTGAACCCGAAATCTTCACTGACCTACCATAGTTGGAGTTGCTACAACTTACAGTTTCAAGAAATGAAAGGCAGTTTTAACTGTTGTCTAAACTGCTGACAGTTTTAAATATTTTTCCTGATATACTTACGTATATTGGGGAGGACAGGTTTGAGTTAATTGCCTCAACTCCAGAAAATTAGAAAGTGTATTGAAAAGCTCAGTGCAGTTGATTTCTTAAAAATCTGGGTGGTTTACAGTTTATCAATTTAAAGAATTTTTACCATTGTGGAAAAATCAAGGGCTACAGCTGATGGTCAGTAAGTATAAGCCTCTCGTTTTCAGTAGTCTGTAGCATAGGGTAGTTGGGAATGAAAGTTCTTTAGTGTGAACTTTTGTTTTGGATGTTTAATAAAAATGATTCGTTGAGTTTTAATTGGTTGTCTTGATATGTGTGTTTTTATTACTCCTAATTTGTACATGGGGGTTTGGCTTGAACCACATGCAAGTCTTAAACCTCCTGCCTGTGTCTTCCCTCTGTTTATTATTAACAGAGTTTGGGAGTTGCATAATGAACAAGACCCTAGAAGGAGAAAAAGTTACTGAGGTAGGGAGAGAGAAGAGCATGATTTTGTTTAAAAAAAAAAAGCAGAAAGCAAAAGATAACAGGCTTAAAGCCAGGAATAACTTACCAGCAAAACTAAATATAATCTTATAGGAGAAAAAAAATAGATATTTAATGAAAGAGGGTATATGTATGTCTAAGCATTCCTGATGAAAAGACTAGACTTGGGTAGAAACTTTGTAATACAAACATGGGAGTAGAAAGAAACATAAAAAGATTTAGGTGAGCAGTCAGAAAAGTCAAAGGTTGAAATATTTGCATTCTAATAGAGGAAGGTGAAGGTGATGCTAGTATATCTTAAGAAGTGTAAACTTATCCGGGGTCATTGAGGATATCAAATACACTGGAGCACCTGGGAGTAGTGGTGTTATGTTTTGAAAGGAAAGAGGGTGAAGGAGATGTACTGGAAGTGAAGAGAAGTGAACTAACCCCCTAATGGGAGATGCAAGTAGCAGTTTATTTGGAGGATAGAGAAGAGAGAAAGGACAGTGGAAGCTGTATCAATTTTAGAGCGCTGGTACTAAGCACATTTCTATTCCAAACCCTCCTGTGTAAAGAGGGCAAGGAGCAAAGAATGAAAAGTATGAGACAATAGGATGGAGGGAAAGGCATAAAAATCATAACTAAAAGTGAATGAGATGAACTTTCATATAAAACAAGATAGAATGGATTAGAAAGCAGAATCCAACAAAATGTTTACTAGAAACGTTTGAAACAAAGCTACACAAACTTAAATGGCTGGAGCGAATCTGTTCTTTAGCTGAACTCAAAAAAGGGTAGCAATCTCTAGGATAATGGCAAAATATATAGACTTAATTAAAAGAGATAAACAAGGAAACTACATTTGTTTAAAAGATACCATAGACAATCTCAGTAGCTAATATATGTACGCTAAATGGCATAGTATCTAAATACTTAAAAACTGAGTGAAAGGGAGAAATAGATAAAAATGGGGAACGTCAATGTACCCCTTTTAGAGCTAGACAAATTAACCAAAATAAGAAAGAAGTAAATGACAGGAATAGAATTTAGAAAAGTTAGAAATGCAGTTTCTAACTGGCAGTTATTGAATGGGGACAGAAAGTAGTGTGTGGAAGTATGTGATTTTTTTCCTTGTCTAGCCTGTTCCCGTTGATCAGTTTCTCTGGTTTTTTAACCAACACCAAATGGTTTTTTGATGATTGATGCTTTATGATATAGTTTGAGGTCTGGAAGTGTTATTCCCTCTTCATTCTTAACCTATTTTAATTTTTTCCCTTGAAATTACTTTGTTTCTCCAAGGAAAGAAAGTTTTGAGGGGTTTTTTGTTGTTATTTTTATAGTTGTATAAGGTATCCCTTTGGTAGTTTGGTATAGCACTAATTTGCAAATTAACTTAGGTAGTATTGTCATAGTTATATTGCAATGGATCAGCTACAAGCACTGAATATTCCTCCAGCTATTTATTTATTTCTTTAATTGTAATTTAATCTATACAGTTAGTGAATGTGCTTAGTATCAATTGATATTTTTAATTGAATTTTTGATTGACTTTCAGATACTTAATTCTTTTTTCTAACTTAAATTTTTAACATTTTTTTAAATTCCAAATTCTCTCCCTCCAGCCTCTCCCCAACCCATTGACAAGGCAGGTAATATACCTGTCATGCATTCGAAGTCATGCAAAATACATTTCTATATTAGCCATGTTGCAAAAAAAAAAGCAAGAAAAATAAAGTGAAAAAAATATTCTTCAATCTTCACTTAAGAGTTCAACAGTTCTTTCTGTGGTGGTAGATAGCATTTTTCATCATTAGCCCTTTGGGATTATCCTGGATCATTATATCATTCAGAGTAATGAAGTCTTTCACAGTTTTGATCATCCTTAGGATATTGCTGTTACTGTGTACAGTGTTCTGGTTCTGCTCACTTTACTGACATTAGTTCATATGTCTTAGTTTTTCCTGAACCCATCCCCCTCACCATTTCTTGTAGCATGATCGTATTCTGTCACAATCATATGCCACAACTTGTTTGGCCATTCTCTGATGGGCATCCCCTTAATTTCCAATTCTTTGCCATTACAGAAAAAAGAGCTACTACAGATATTTTTGTACATATAAGCCCTTTCCCTTTTTCTTTGATCTCTTTGAAATACAGACCTAGTAGTGGTATTGCTGGGTCAAAGGATATAGTTCCAGATTGTTCTCCAGAATGGTTGGACCAGTTCACAACTCATAGGGCATTAGTGTCCCTGCATTTCTACATCCCTTCCAGCATTTGTCCTTCTCCTCTTCTGTCATGTTAGCCAATCTAATAGGTGCAAAGTGGTACCTGAAAGTTGTTTTAATTTGCATTTCTATAATTACTAGTAATTTAGAGCATTTTTTCATATGACTATTGATGCCTTTGATTTTTTTTTCTTCCAAAAACTGGCAGGCACCTTACTCTTAAACTTTTCTGTTGACTTTAACGCAAATCAACTTCAACATGGACTCCTTAGTGAAAGTAGGGCCTATTTATTTGGATATTTTTGTCTCAGTCTGCAGGAGTCTTATAGGCCATCTTCCCAAACACTCAGGATCCATGGATACCTCACTTAGAAAATAATGCCCTAGATTAGTCCTAATTTGTTTCATGATATTATGTGACTAGTAAGAGCATTACTGTTTGGAGCTTTTTAATCTAAGACATGATCAAAGTCATTGAGCTAGGGCTTATTCTCATTTTGTTGTGTGTGGAGAGAACAGAAATCAGAGTGGCTTGATCACTTTCCCAAAGCTCTGGCAGGTAAAAGTAGAACATAAGACTTTAAGTAGTACTTAACATAATTATAGCACAAATATTGTTTTCACTCTCTAATCATGTTCTGCTTGTGGAGAGAATTCACTTTTGCCAAACCATGCCACACAAGTGTAGGCTCAAGCTAAGAAATCTAGGAAAACATTCTGGGTTCTAGAATATATAAACTGCTCAACACCAATCCCAGGAATATCATCAGAAACTGGTTCCGTCTCTCAGTTCAATTCGTTTTCAGAATCAGCCAAAGCTGTGGGAGAGATTCAGAACCCATCCAGGACATCAGGTGACCAGTGATACCAGTGGCTGTTAACCATGGTGCACTCAGACTTAGCTGTTCTCTGAAAGAGGTAAAATGAGATTCTTGGGAAATGCCCCATATTTGGAAAGGCAGTAGAAGTGAAATAACTGCCCAGGTACTCCTATTATGTGAAAATTCTTTTCACTTTTTTTTTCCAGACTTATCTTTGAAGCAGTTTTTAGCTGATTATGAAATGAACCGTTCTTATCCACTACCAATGCACTATGTTCTCAGTACAACCAGTTTCTCTCAGCTGCTTTTCCCTATCACTCCTAATTCTAGTCTTTTTCCCTCTGGCATCAGAAAGAATTCTTCCTTCCAATGATATTTGCTTGGCAACAAGTGTTTACTATACAAAGAACTGTACTGCCCTAGTCAAAAGTTTCCACATCTGCTCTGGGGAAGGAATAGTCTGATCAAAACCTTGATCTGGAGCTGCTAGAATTCCAGAAGTACCCCTAGCCGAAGCCTCCCTGCTTGCTTACTCTACAGTTCCTTTTTCTTCCCATTGATGCTCTTGGAAACCTTCCTGCTATTGTGTTTGGTCTCCCTGGTATCCATACAGTAATGGGGCAGCCAGCAGGTGGGATAAATGAAGTGTCCTTGAAACAAGATTAAAGATGTCTGCTAGCTGAAGCATTCATCTAGGTTTCTCTGCTGACTGGCATCCCACGGCCAGCACGCCTCTGGATGACGCAGGACACTGAGTGCGTGAAAAACTACCAAATTCACCTAAGCTCATGCTAGAGAGAAAGAGTACCATGGATAGGGCACTGGGGTTGAAAGCTGAAAAACTTGAGTTTGCATCCTTGGTGTGCGTAACTAGTTGTGTAATCATAAGCAGGTCATTTAACTCCTCTGAGTCTCCTTTTCCTCATCGGTAAGACAGGAAAAATAATAAATACTCTACCTACCAAACAGGGTAATTGTGAGAAGAGTACTCTGTAAATATGTGTTATAATTTCTCTCCCTATTTTTCCCCCTGAAACTTTTATGTGGAAAAGGAATGGAAATTCCTTTACAGCAGAGACGATTTCATTTGTCTTTGTATGTCTAGCACCTAGCACAGTACTTTGCACATGGTATGCATTTTCATAATATTTTGTGACTAACAATAAGAGTATTACAATTTGGGCCTTTCAAATCAAAGACCAGTAAATGCTTCAAGAACTCTGAAGTTCAGTAAATATTTATTGAGTTGAATAGCATACCATCTTCCCTTCCCTGCCTTCTTCCAACTTCATTTTCTTTTTTAAAAAGTTGTATTGATCACTTTTGTTTTCATCATAATCATTTCCAGATAGACTATCTTTAAGCCTTCCAATGTAACAAAGAAAAAACATTTAGGTAAAACCACCTGATTCATCAGCTTCAGCAATGAAAAGTAGATATACATTTCTTCATCTATTCTTCAGGCATAAGATTGATCATTTTAATTACACAGTCCTGTCGTATTGCTCTTTTTTTATATTATTGTCATTATGTATTTTGTTTTCCTGGTTCTGTTTCCTTTGTCCTGTATCAGTTAATGTGTCTTCTATCTTTCTTTGAATTTTCATATTTGTTACAATGCAATAATATTTCATTATATGCATTATATCAACACTGTTTAGCCATGTTCTTATCAATAGATACTAATTTTGTTTCCAGTTCTTTGCTACCACAAAACGTTTTGCTATGAATATTTTAGTACATAGCAAACCTTTCTTGTTGTCTTTGACTTCTTTGAAAT